ACTATTTTACGGGTCGCAAACTAGAAAACCATGGAGAACCAAAGGTGACGGTTAACGGTGATTTAATTGACCAAATTCCAAAAGACCAAATGAACAAAGTCGATTGACCGACGACTGACCATTCCATAAATCTGATCTTAATCCTAGTACTCTCAAGAAAAATTGTAGGCGACTGCTCTAACAGGCGTTCATATCCGCTTTTCTCTTTTGAGACAATTATAAATCTATTAAACTTAAATCTGGGTATTGGTACATTAACATTCGTGTACCTTTGCACACAACTAAAGAACGAAACTTAATTATGTAACAAAAGAAATCACTTACATATATATCGGCCCCACTTGTGCCAAAGGTTAAAAGCAAACCAAAACGATGTAACAACGCGATTTCTTCTTGACTTTCTGTCCAAAAAGACGCTGACGCGCTCTTTTATATCCCCATGGGGACGCCGAAATATCTCATTACAAAACCAACAGAAAATCAGGTAAACATTGTAACTACTCTAGTAACTAGAATCAAAGCAAGAGACATAACAAAATGAAATAAATCTGTTCTTATGTCTCGTCCTTTACAAGTGGGGGTTCATTGGATTGTCGACCGCGCGTAGCGTGCCCGCAGACGAAATTAAACTCCGGTTAACCCCTAGGCTAACTGCGCGAGGCATTAGTTTAATATGTTGGGAAGCATAGATTTTGTATCATACTCTCATATATATAGGGCAACTGACTCAGTGGTTCGAACCGTTACAATATATACGCTCCCCAACCAATCTCGTGCCCAGAGTCTTCTGGCTTTTTGGTCTGCGGGGCAACGTCAGGGAAGTCTGGGGACATCAGTAGTCTACTATGTTGAAAGATAAGCCCCGTTGGTGCCTAGCAAGTGTCTAGTCAAGTAGTTAGTAAAATGGGTATCCCGGAGCACTCCGACCATAATTGTAACGCAATTCTAAGTAGATCTAAAATTCCAGATTATGCAAAGGATTACAAAAACGAATATCTTTTTATAAAAGGTATTGATACGTGTTTTAAATTCTTTTTAGATAATCTGGATAAAGCGAATAAAGGGGTATTTGAAAACCATAGAGTTGATATTATAAAGAAATATATTAATAGACTTGAAAAAGCCCAGAAATTGAATTATCTTAATGATACTACTAATATAGAGATTGATGAACAAGATGTTCTTTATTCATCTTTACTTTTGGAGAGTTTAGCTGATTTTGGAGATTATTATGTTGATGATGATGATTGGCAGTTTGATCGAGTAGTGTTTGATATGTTTGTTGATCGTGAATTTCCAGGTTATAAAAATCTTGTTAAATGTATTGAGTTATTTCATAGTAAACTCAAAATGGTATTTGATAAGTATAAAATTAATTGAAATGATAGTGATAGTGATAGTGATAGTGATGATGATGGGGTTGATAGTGATGATATTGCGGCTATATTAGGTAGTGATGATGATAGTGATTCTGATAGTCATAGTGATGAGATTGATACTGTTTTTGATTATGATTATTAATTATTATTTAAAGTCTTATAATATAATATTAATATTATAAGACGTAATGTCTAACCAATCAATTGATGGTTTTCAGGGTTCTCAACCCTTTATAAATAATAAAGAATATCAGAATTTATCTTTGGATGAATTAAAATTAATTTTAGAATATGAAAAAGAAAAACTAAAAAAAATTATAAAGATTTAAGTAAGAAACAAAAATTAATTAGAGATATTAAAAAATTAAAAAGACTTAATGAAAAAGTAGAAAAAGTGTTGATATAAAGAAAAAATCCAAACCAAAAAAATAAAAACATTTGATGAGTATTTTCAGGAATGTATAAGAGATAATATAATTCCCCCAGATACTCCTACTTATTTTCGTCAAGCTCTTGAGCGAGCTATTAGGGAACATGAACAAGGAATTGAAAAAGAAAAATCAGCTTTTGAAAATTTTGCTATTAAGTATATTATTGAAGGAGATCCTAATCTTACTCCAGTTGAATATTTTAATAACATTTATGCAACTTGAAAAGATTTTTTTACATACCATAGAAATATTAAATTTAGTATGGTTTTGGTATGTTTAATGGAACAACAAATACTTAATAAAGATAAGGGAATTGTTGGGTTAAAAGAAGATAAAGTATACTTTAACTCAGGCACACATATTAATCTTAAATCAACAAATGTAAAGAAATTAATTGATAAATGTGTCAAGAAAATTATTGAAGATTTAGAGTCATACCAAAAAAATGGGAGTGGATGGTATTTTAAAGAAGTGCTTAATCTTGAAATTCATACTAGTGAGTATGATCCAATGAAGGGGTCATCTTATATTCCTCTTCCAGATTGGATAACAAGTAAAAAAGCAATAGTTAATATTCAAAACAAAGATGAGAAATGTTTTATTTGGTGTATACTTAGGTATCTTCATCCTAAGGAAAGAGATGAGCAAAGACTAGTAGATTTGAAAAAGTTTGAGAATTCTCTTAACACCAAAGGAATTGATTTTCCTATGAAGTTAAAACACATTTCTAAATTTGAAAAACTTAATCCATCTCTTCCAGGAATAAATGTTTTTTCAGTTAACGATAACAAAAAGTTTTATCCTTTGAGAATGGCGGAGAAAGACTGTCTAAATACTATTGACTTGTTTTTTTATGAACAAGATGGTGTTTCCCATTATTCACTAATTAAAAATTTTACTCGTTTGGTTAAATCGCAAATAACTTCAAGTAAGAATGGCTCAGTATATATTTGTAAGAAATGCTTTACTCATTTTACTAAGTATGAATTATTACAAAAACACATCTCATATTGTTCAACCAATGAAACGGTTTCTGTGCGTATGCCGCCAAAAAACACAATGTTATGTTTTAACAATTACCACAAACAACTTCCAATTCCTTTTGTAGTTTATGCAGATTTTGAATGTTTTACTAAACCGGTGAACACTTGCAGTCCTAATCTAGAGTATTCTTATAATTACAATTACCAAAAGCATGAACCATCAAAGGAATAGATCCTAATATAACATTTGAACCAATTCTTTACACAAAAACAAAAAGTACTGATGACATGTCTAAAATATTTGTTTCTAAACTTGCAAAAGTAAGTAATAAGATATATAATGATTTTTATCGTCGTCCAATTCCTCTTAAATTAACACACGCCGAACAAATATCCTTTGATAAAGCAGAAACTTTTCATATTTGTAAGAAAGAATTACTTACTGATAAAGTTAGAGATCATTGTCATTTTACTGGAAAATACCGTGGAGCTGCTCATAACAGTTGCAATCTTCAGTGTCGAAAGCCAATGATTCTTCCAGTTATATTTCACAATCTTCAAGGGTATGATGCACATTTGTTTATAAAGCAACTTGCTTGTTTACCAGGTGAGTTAAACTGTATTCCCTCGACAGAAGAAAAGTATATTACTACGATGGCTGTAAGACCCGTTTTTCACACTCAGTACAGATTTTGGGATTCTTGCTGATGTCAGCATTTTTGATACCGGTTTGGACTGGTTATTTTTGCTAATTAATTGGACAAAACGAAAGGTACTTAAAGAAAAGGCGATATAATATAGTATAATGAGTCAGAGTCAAAGTCAGAGTTCAATTAATTTTATCCAACCTATTAGTATGTATAATAGGAAAGATTTACCGAAAATGTCTAAGGACGAATTAATAAATATGTTAATGGGAAAACAAACTGCGAGGGCCAATCTGGCAGGACCAGTTAATCAGGCTGCGAGCGCCAATCTGGCAGGACCAGTCTTCAAGCCTAAATCACTTGCACAACTAGCGGCTGAAAAATTAGAACAATCAATAAAACGACCAGCCGTACTAGCAAAACAGAGCAATAGAATGCCAACATTAAAGACACTAGCTGCAAATGCAATGGTCAAGGACAAAATTAAATACTTTGAGGAACTGTCCGATAAACAAGCTCCTACTATTAGGTTACATAAAAAAACCTGTTTCGCAGCAAGAAATGAGAAATGAGGAATTGAAGCGTGCTAAAGTATCAAAATATAAAAAACATTCATCATTTCAAAATTTGTTTCACGAAAGACTAGAACAGATACCTGGTCAACGAGAGCGAGCACAAATTACAATAAACGCTGTTATTGAACATACAATTGGCAATAGAACCGAGTTCATTGGTAAGACATATGGTCCGTTTAAAATGGAAGTTCCAAAATTAAGTAAACCTGATATGTACAAATTTGTAATGTATACGCTGTTCCAAAACAACTTTACAGTCTTATCAACAGAAACTATAGCCGACATTGGAGCTACTATAACTACCCATAATGAGCAGTTCTTTAAAGATCATGTAGCCGGTGCTCTAAAATTAAATAATTATTCTTAGATAAGCAGTTTCAGATTAAACAACGGGGCAATAATACTTGTTTGGTGGATTTTGTTTGGCATAACTGCAGGGGTAAGAAGGGTTTCCAGGAATATACGTATCCAAAATTTTATGACGAGATGGAAGTTTATGGGTCAGCCAGTTTTCCAATGATGTCAACGCAAGAGTTAATTGATTGGGCTAAAGCATGTCATCCAAATGTATCAATCCATGCGTATGACTCAACATGGAGGAAATTTATGAAACACATAGCATCACTTGGTCGTTCAGATGTTACATTAGTATTTTATATCAAAGACCACCATCTATATCCTATCCAAGATGACCGCCTCAAACATATTGCTACAAAAGCCAACCAAGGCGGCGCCGACAATTTATGGAAGTATATGACAGACATGAAATGGTCCAACAAATCGAGTAATTATATTATGTACGAAGAACTGGAAAATAATGAGCTCACTGATGAGGGTAAACCAACATTGATGACAATCGAGAATCATGTAATAGTCTTGCCACCGGACTCAAAAAATAGAGCCCATTATTGAAGCATATACGATCAGGACTAATTATTTTGTCGAATATTTACATTACGATAATAATGGCAGATTAGACGGCTTTATGGATCATAAGAATAACATGTACGTTCTTAACAACGAATATGAAAACCGTAAATCGATCTGTGAGCGATTATATAAAATATACAAATCTTATGACTTCGTATGGTGTAATCAATCATACACCTCGCTGGCAACTTCATTATTTAAACACATGAGAGGCTATCTTCCGGAATCACAATATGACACCAAAACACGGGAGATATTAGAAGATTTTTATCCTCGACCACTACAATGGTGTTCAACTGACCCAGCACCCGATAATTTAGTGTCATTAAATATCTCAAAATGTTATCCTTCTATACTGATCGATAATGAATCACCAATACCATTATATACAATCCACGATATTATCAAGCCCTTTGATGGGGTATTTAAGACTGGCGAATATTACATCGAAGAATATGTCATCGAAAAACGACTAAGAAAAGGTATCAAAATAGAGGCTGGTTTTTATCGCAAACAATTAGTACAAACATTGATCGCAAAGTTTAAGATGCCTATCTCTAATGTCAAATGGTATATCCAAGCACGTAAAACATTAGTCCTGGATACATTCAAGAATTACATGTTAGCAATCTTTTCAATGTTCCCAGAACCCCAAGCAAAATTAATAGCAAACAGTTACATCGGTGAACTGGGTAGAAAATATAGTCGCAAAGACCATGGTTTTACATGTAACTCACTAGATACGGCACAGTGCATCTGGACATCTGCTGTTGCCGAGAATCGTGATGTTGTTATTGACAGTTATCAGAATCCAAACACTAAACAAGAATTATACCTAATCAGAGAGCGTCAAATTGAGCGCATATTTTCTGACAATACATCAATCAACCGCTTTGTTATCTCACAGTCCATATTAAAATGTTTGAACATGTTACATGACAATGCGAGTCACGATAATGATGGCAATGGAATCAGTCAAGTGTATGCAATCAATACTGACGGCGTATTTATGACTAATCCTAAAAACCAATACCCCAACAAGAAAGATGTCGAATTTACAACTGACAGTATCGGAAAGATATTCCAAACTGATAGCCCAGCTGTATATTCCGAGAAACATTACAGGGAGAATTTTAATCCTAATAATTACTCCGATTATGTGGGAGACGGTGCTATTTATTATGGCGGCGCCGGATGCGGTAAAACATACAGATTATGCCAAAAGGCACTAGCAGCCGATGGCCCCATAATCCTATCATTTACTAATAAGGCTATCCAGAATGTAAAATCGGTATTGTGTGATGTGTACAATAATTATGAGGTAGCTAAGAAGTGTTATACTTTTGATCTGTTCTTTTGTGATCATCACGGACGTGACATAACAGCACTAGAGGGCAAAACAATATTTGTGGACGAATACTCCATGACTCCTCATAAGTGGATGAAGGAAGCTCTATCAAGCGTTCACTAAATACAGACTCACTATTTATATGTTTGGTGATACTAATCAATGCGACCCAGTAGAGCCATCTGATATGTTTTACGATTATTTTGAGTCAGTGGCTGTTTCTGAGATGTGTCCACGACGGGTTGAAATGAAGTATATAGAAGAATATGCTCGATACGATCCACAAACACGGGATCTGTTAATCAAGTTTCTCAAGTGTGGCAGTATCAAACACCAATTTGAACCACCAGTGGACAGTTACCATAATATTTGCTATCTGAATAAAACAAGGCGGCAAGTCACACAAGAATGCTGTAATAGATCCACTGAAAATAAAGAATATTATGAGATCGATTTTAAATATCAAGGACATAGGGAGAAATATAAGGTAACGGTTGAAATGCCAATGATAGTAACACAAAATATGCGCAATAAAGATATGTTTAATATGGAGCAGTACGATATTGACAGCATTAACGAGAATGATGAAGGCAATCTTGAATTCACGCTTAATGGAACAGTATTCAGTCACAGTGAATTCCGCGAATCTTTCATCCCAGCATTTTGTGTTACAGTGTACAAATATCAGGGAGGAACAATAAGCACGCCATATAATATTTATGATGTTGAGAGAATGGACAAGAAACAACTCTATACTGCTTTATCCAGAACAACAGAACTAAATCATATCCATCTCAATACAACAAAATTGAACCCCAAATACAAAATCAGAATGCCACCGCTCTGCGTGACAGTGAATAGTTACTTCAATGATGACTACCATAATGGTCAAATTTATAAGATCACGTTCAAACACAATGACAAATTATATATCGGTAGCTCTATTAGAAATCTACAAGAACGGCTCAATGAACATGCGACTACAGAATCAAGTGCAATATTCAAGTACAAGGATGATGAACCAATAATTATGCCAATAATACGCGCTCCTTGTAAGGATCGTCAAGAATTAAACAGAGTGGAAGCCGAAAACATAAGATATTATAGTGAAAAATATGGGGACCGTTTACTCAACAAACAATTAGTCCCGAAACATACAGTCAAAATTGAATACAAACATCAAGCGCAAATTGAGACAGAAAATCAAATGCGAGAAAGACTGCGCCAGAAGTTTGGTGATAAACTCAAGATCAAGGATGATCCGATGAATAAGTTACTATATTATGATACAAAAATTGATGGCAAACGATACAAAACAATGGCGCGCTACAATAAGTGTTCAAAAGAGGAGGCCTTGACAAAGATCACAAAAAAGCAACAACAATTGGTCGATGAATTGACAATCAACTTTAACTAATAAAAAATAACAAAACTGGTGGCCACCAGACCTTCTCAGGAGGACTCCCCCATTTTTCCATCCCTACCTCCCATCACCCCATTTCCCCTCAGTCTCTCCTGGGAAGGTTTAATTCTTATTACCCTTAGGCCGGCCATTTACAGGGCTTTTCCAAATTTCATTTCATTTTATTTTAGTTTTCCCTCTCGAGTTTAGGGGCGAACCAGCACTCCTATGCACCTCGCTCTGCCTTTTGGGCATCCTCTTACGAGTGGTCCTCAGTGCAATTACAGCNAGGATGATCCGATGAATAAGTTACTATATTATGATACAAAAATTGATGGCAAACGATACAAAACAATGGCGCGCTACAATAAGTGTTCAAAAGAGGAGGCCTTGACAAAGATCACAAAAAAGCAACAACAATTGGTCGATGAATTGACAATCAACTTTAACTAATAAAAAATAACAAAACTGGTGGCCACCAGACCTTCTCAGGAGGACTCCCCCATTTTTCCATCCCTACCTCCCATCACCCCATTTCCCCTCAGTCTCTCCTGGGAAGGTTTAATTCTTATTACCCTTAGGCCGGCCATTTACAGGGCTTTTCCAAATTTCATTTCATTTTATTTTAGTTTTCCCTCTCGAGTTTAGGGGCGAACCAGCACTCCTATGCACCTCGCTCTGCCTTTTGGGCATCCTCTTACGAGTGGTCCTCAGTGCAATTACAGCTGTACTCAACGCCCTGGACACCGTCTACAAGGGAGTTTCCCCATTTTCCCATATATTCCCATCCAAGTGAATGATAAAGCCGTGGGGTTTTTACCTCATCATTAACAAGGGTTATCCGGTTACCAGTATTAGCCGAAAGGCCCCGCGTTTTTCCAACTAGGTAATACTTTCACCAAGATACACTCTGGTACTATTTCAAATTAGCCTTATATATGAGTCCACTTCAATATTCTCATCATTGTGGGATGTAATTTGTGTCTTCTCCTTCTGCGCAGTCTCAGTAGGGCAAAACCATAAACTATTTTAAAAAATCTAAATATAGTATAGTAATGATGTGCAATAAACAAGTTCATGAATTATTGATCCAAGAGGGTCAAGTTAATTGTATCTTTTGTAATGAACAGATTCAGGATCCCGGTAAGCCTAAGCGAGATTTTTGCTGCGATTCTATGAGACTGATCAAGGATAACTTTCTTTTGTGTAAGAATTGTGGGCAAGTACATGATTATTTAATGGCGGACGAGTATATTGACTTTTATGAAAATAGATACAGGATAAAAAGAAAGTCTATCTACTACACAAAATATCATATCATCAATACGCTAAATGATATAGAGCCAAAAAATAATATCCAACTTGATTATTATGATAGAGAGAGTATTCTGTGAATATTCCAACTATTTGACCGTATTGAACTCCCAGATGTGGGCAGAAAACGGCTTATTAGTGTAAATTATATCATCAAACAACTATTTGACATCTTAGGGATAAAATACAAGTCCATTCCTCACACACGAATAAAAAATACACTAAAATATTACAATGAATGGTGGGGCAAAGTTTATGGTCACATTAAGGATGACGTCAATAGAATAATTTTAAGGAGGCATTATTGATCTGTTGGATGGGAGAGAAACTTTTTAACGTACTGCTTTTCGAATCTTGTTACTAATGGGGCAAAGTCCACGATCGTATCATCTAGTATATTTAGTTCCTTTAGGAAATCGTTTTTGTCAAATGGCCCCCCTCGCAGAGCGGTACGGAGGTCAAGTAATATTTTCTGGTAAGTGGAATAAGCAAACTTTGACAT